TGTGGTGGATAAAACGCAGTCGTACTTACGATTTGAGATTCAATCTGGATCCAAAACATGGAACGCAGAGACATACTATTCGGATTACAATCATACCCACAAATGGGCACGTGACTTACCGATTTGCAGTGCAGATAGCTTCTTCAAAAAGTTGGTACACTACCTGGACCCAGAGGTCATTGAGGAGTCGACTACAGGCGTCTTCCAATGGATCTCTAAAGTGTATCAAATCATATTGCTGGACAGTATTGCGGAGCTTCGTGATTTCACAAAAGATGCTATTTATCAGAACCATCCTGCACTCAAGACGTTGCGTGATCTATTTACACATTGTATCCAGACATTCGGTAACCCAGGCTTCCCCGTATGGAGGGAGCTGGTGGAAACACCTGCCGCGCCACGTGGCCCAGGCGCGGAGCAGGACATTCCCCAGGATCCAGGCAGCGTTGCATCGGCAGCTCCAGATCAGGAAACCATGGTACGGATCATAGCCCAGCAGAAGGGAATCGACCGCGAGGAGGGTGACAACGAGTCCGCCTTGCAGGAAGAGGCTAGCCGTATCCGTACAGAAAACGTATGCCATGGTGATACTGACGACGCGGACAACGACACGACCGAGCGCGTAGGACTGCCAGGGGAAAGATTGTCTAGGATCGAGATCGAGGGAATGAGCAGATCGATCGCTTCCCGTCCGACCGCCGAGATCAACCGCGATGCCATCGATCAGATCGGCCGCAGTCTTGCTCACGGTCGGGACACTCGCTGGGGGTCTCGGGAGCACCTCACGATTGACGGAGCCCCAGAATATATTCAGCATGATATCGCGCGATGTCGGAATTGCGGTCGCATCTTATCCCTAGGGATCGTTACAGATGAAGGTACCGTTTGTGACATCTGCTGGCAGTGCACTGTTGCCGTAGGTGCTACGGGTAAAAGCACCGCTGTCGAGAGCGACCTGGCATACCTCCAGAAGCTGACCCACTGGATCAAGACGACGCTCTCCCAGGAGGACATCACGAGGTACATGAGAGACGGAGCGCCGGTCATCATGATGGGCAAGCGCTCCGTTCCAGGCAATGAGAAAGACGTGCTGAGGATAATGGCAAATGCTGCTAGGAAGAGGTATGAGAAGCGGGTCGCCGCTGGCTCCCCTCCTGCACACATGTGCAGATTGATGGGCGAGCGTGAGGACGACAGACCTCTATACCATCCCTTTGCCAACCTCATTCAGCGCTTTCTCAATGATTTGAAGTTCCACCACCAAATGACAGGCGCTCGTGTCAATAAAGGCAAGAACGCCTATACCATTGAGGACATGCGCGACGCCTGTGCAATCCTCGAGACCAGCATCAGGACTGGCCAAGCTGGTCGGAAGAAGTGGTGGTTGAACGCAGGCAGACTCGACCGAAGTACGCGGCAGGCACGCGGACTTGTCACGATTGCCCTTCCCAGAGGGGATGGCACCCGTGAGAGAGCCACGCAGCGCAAGCTTGCCGCGCTTGCTTCTGTTGAACCCGCCTTGGGTTCCACTGACCAGAGGGGGGTCGATTCAGGGATGCATACTCCCAACGCTCTGATGATGCCATGGGTCCACGCATGCCGCGGCACCCGCCGCCGCCGCCGCGCCCTGCTCCTGGCGGCGCTGCAGGGTCCAGCGCCTCAGGCGCGCAGGACTACATGCCCGCGGGGCCGCGCGGCACTGCAGCGCAGCGGCAGGATAGCGACGACAGCCGCAGACCTGCGACACCTCCCCGCGCCAAGAGGGCGCGCACGACGGAGGGCTACGCTACGTGGTGGCGCGACAACCTGGAGGACAGCCAGTGGGGCCCCAGATACTGGAGCTCCTACATCAAATGCTGGATATACATCACGGACAACAACGACGAGTTCGTATACGTCCGCGACATCCAGTACAATGAGTGGTTCCGCCACTGGATCCCGAGGACGCCTTGGGGGACCTTCAATGCGAGCTACGTGTCGTACGATGGCCACAGGATGTAGGGCCGCAGGTTCTACGAGAGGGGCAGCGCGTAGTAGAGTCGGCCGCCAGGCCCACCGCTCGAAAGGCTTGAACTCTATCATTACACAAGTTCGCCTCGAGCGGTGGCTATTATATCATTTTAGGCCACTTCACTATCCAAGACAAGTGGCCGCGCACACATATCCTTGCGATACCCAAGGCAGCCTCCTAATGAGCAACGCCAGCGGGAGTCGCCAAATACAGAATTTTTATATGTATGTATGTATATATATATATATATATATGCAACTTTTTCGTGTTTATCAACGCGACTTTGCGTCTGGCCAGACATTTGCTTTTATATGTAGACGTGTCTCTTATTACGTTCGCGTTCATCAAGACGACCTCATAATGCATTTTTTCGTTTACTCTTTAGACTTTGCTTACATTGCGTTGAGAATGATCTGACGCTCAGCTCTCGACAGAGAGCTGGTGGCCATTCCTGCCCCGCTTAGGCGCGGCAGCTTCTGATGTTGCTTTAACTGGCTCAGATCCTCTTTCTCCGCCCGCCCGTGTCTCATTCTTCTCCTCCTTCGAGTGCCGAAGCGTTTTGGGGGGCGCACCGAGGGGGCACCAAAGCGTGCTTGGCGAAAACATAGGGACCCTGGGTGTTCCTTCTTACCTTACCTTGCAGCTGAGGCTATACTGATTTTGCACTCAGCTGCCTGACAGAATTGAGGATTAGAGGAGTAAAAGGGTGACGGGATCTTTTCCTCTGTTCCCGAGTCCTACCCCCACGGGCGGGATTCGGGACGGGGTGTGTGAATAGAACCCGTGTAATGCCCTCATATATATTCCTTATCCTCACCTCTCCTGCGCCTGGCCGTTTGGGCTCAGGTATTGGGACAGATCGATCAGACCTTTGATCGTGCAGGAAGGAAAGACATCCATCTATCCCTCCTTCCCTCTACCAACGGATCAGGGGTTCTGTACCCTTGTACTTCAACCCCATTCACATCTTGTAGGCCTCTTGGGCGCCTGTTGGGGCCTCCTGGGGCCTCCTGAACGCCTCTTGGGACCCTCTTGAGACGCTCTTGGGAGCCTTGGGAGCGCTCTTGGAGCCCTTTTGGGCCATCTTGGAGCCATCTTTAGGTCTCGGCGAGAAAGCCAAGAACATGGATTTTCCGAAGGTTTTGGAAGGATTTTGGCCTCTTTGGGGCCTCCTGGGGGAGCTTTTTGGCCAGTTGGAGCCGTCTTGGAGCGGTTTTGGGGCCTCTTGGAGCATCGTGGGCGCCATCTTGAGGCATCTTGGGATATCTTGAGCCATCTTGGAGATCATCTTTGGCTCTCCCAGGCGCTCTTGGAGTCATCTGAGCAGTGCCCCTCCCCAGGAGGCCAACATGTGGCCAAAACCTTGGTAAAATCAGCGATTTTGGCATTGTCGCCGAGGCCTCTTGGAGCGTCTTGGGTGCCTCAGAGGGGGCCTCTTGGGGCCTCTTGGAGGTCTCTTGGATGTGTCTTGGGAGCCTCTTGGGGACATCCTGGGGTCCTCCTGGGGGCCTCTTGGGGCTTCCTGGCCACCTCCTGGAGCCCTCTTGGGGCACCCTTGGGAGCCTTGGGGGCCATCTTGGGTGAGATCGATCACAGGAGGGGTGGTGTTTAGTTAGGGCACCGCCCTCAGGAGGCCAAAATGGGGCCAAAACCATTTTAAAATCAATGATTTTGGCTTCCTCGCCGAGGCCGTTTTGGACGCTGCGACACCTCGCGAAACCCCCTGTCCAGGTCCATGGGGAGGGGGTAGGGGGAGGGGAAAACCCCTGAAGGGGAACAAGGAGGGGTGGAAGAGGAAACGCTCTAAACGACCGATTTTTGATCCCAAGGAAGGCTGTTGGCACTCTTCGGCCTCCTGGGGGCCCTTCATGGGCCCTGGGGCCGTGAAAAGTTTGCTCTACAGGACAAGCTTGCCCACGGGTTCCACGTTGGGAACACATCGCTCTCCCGAGGCCCCTGCCTGCTGGCGCCACTCTCCGAGTGGTGTGTTCGGGGCTTTTGGCTGGCACTTTGCGTCGGGGCGGGTCGGCCTGCAACACGGATCGGAGGCAGGGAAGGCGACACCACCACCACCAGGGGGCTCACCTCCAGCGAGGGGGTCCGGGCTCCCGCTAGGAGGAGCCTGGCTCCCACTCGGAGGAGCCTGGCTCTCACTAGGACCTCGTCTAGGTCGAGCTCCGGCTGCACGGTGAGGATCTGCTCCGAAGAATCTGCTGGTGCTTCGGCTGCCCCATCGTCGGAGGAAGGAGCGGCAACACCACCACCAGGGGGGCCACAGCCAGCGAGGGGGTCCACGATGCCTCCCCGAGCTGGGGAGAAGGGGATGTCCTCCAGCGAGAGAGGGGGCCGCACCACCAGGGAGGACCCTCCCTGGCGCCTCGGCGCCGAGGGTGGCGGCGTCGCCCGTCCTTCTTTCTGCCGGAGTCGACTTCGGCGGCGCACCTTTGGGAAACATGCGCACTTTTCCTAGTGTTTCCAAGCTGTTCCACTCTGCAAGTGCCCAAGCAGCGCCTTGAATGAGGAGGTGGAGGAGGAGGAGGAGGAGGAGGAGGAGGAGGAGGAGGAGGAGGAGGAGGAGGATGAGGAGTAGAGGGGCTCCACTGCGCGGCAGTCGCTAGGAGCAGAGGGGCTCGCTTCCCGCGGGGCGCTCGCAGCCCGGGCCCCCGGGGCCCTCGCAGGGCGACCTGGTTCGAGAGAAATGCGGGGCTGGGGCCTCTCGTCGTGGTCTTTCGCGGTGCTGCATCTTGTTCGCGGCGTCGGGTCTCAGGGCTTGGCCCGCCGGGCGAACTGGCGGGAGGGAGGCTGGTGCTTCAGAGGCGACGATTGGGGCGAATAGCCCAGGGGAGAGCAATACAGGCATCCAGGGGCGCCGATGATCTATGTCTTCGACAAGGCTCTCCGGCGAATGCGTGTAATGCTCGCCCCTGGGCTATTCGCTCTTATCGTCGCCGCCGAGTGCTGTCGGTGATTTTGCGCTTCTCTGGCGCAGGCCTGTCGAGCACCAGCGTGGACGCGTCCAGCGGCGGCAGCCTCTACCCCACCACCACTGCCGCGTCCGTGGCAGCCTCGGTGCCGCTCCACAAGGGCCTCGTCGGCAGCGAGGACGCGTCCGCCGGCGGCGGCAGCCTCTACCCCACCACCACTGCCGCGTCCGTGGCAGCCTCGGTGCCGCTCCACAAGGGCCTCGTCGGCAGCGAGGACGCGTCCGGCGGCGGCAGCCTCTACCCCACCACCACTGCCGCGTCCGTGGCAGCCTCGGTGCCGCTCCACAAGGGCCAAGGTGGCGTAGCCGATGGCACCAGCAGCGGCAGCAGCAGCAGCAGCAGCAGCAGCAGCAGCGGCACCACTGCAGGTTCCGACGCAGCGAGCGCGTCCCCTATCGCAGGCAGCACGTCCGCAGCAGCTTCAATCACGAACACCGCGGTTGCCTCCACGAGCGCGGTCGAGGGCGCGAGCGCTCCTCTCCCCGGTGTAAGCAATGCGTCCACGGCAGTCGCGTCGTCGTCCTCTGTGAACGGATCGACTACGGCCCCGCAGATGAACGGCAGCACAATCGCTGGGAGGGGGGGGCAGGGGGCATGAGAAGCACAGTTGCCCGAAGGGTCTGTGCGTGTTCTTGTGTGCGTGCGGGTGTACATGTCGAGCTCCCGCAGGGTCCGACGGGTCATCCCTCAGGGATTTCTTGTTGATAGGTGGTTTGTTGATCGTGTCGTACGCGCACAGTTCGCGTCAGCGGGAATGGGAGAAGCAGTGGTAGGAGCTGAGGAAATGTTCGACGCAGCTAAGTTGGCAGGGAAATAGTGAGTTCATGAACCACTATGGCTGCAGACTGAGCCGTTTGGCGCGGATGCGCCACTCCTCTGGTTTTTTGTCACATCTTATGCGAGGCATTTGAAAGAGCGGCCGCAGACAGCCGGCACTATTGAACTACTTTGTGTCTTGTAATGCTTTTGAGTTCTAGACGCTTCGCGTAACCCCACCAGCCCATCCAGAAACGATTCCCGGAGGAGTTGCCTCGATCAGGGAAGTGGGCAGCACGCAGAGGAGCCTCTTGGAGCGTCTTGGGGGCCTCTTGGCGGACCCGGAGGCCTCTTGGAGGGTCTTGGTTGCCTCGGGGAGCTTGCTGGGGCCTCTTGGGGGTCTCTCGGGAGCCTCTTGGAGGCCTCTTGGGCGCCTCTTGGGGCCGTCTTGGAGGACATCGATCAAACAAGAGGGGAGCTTGAATTAGCGTTGCCCCCCCCCCCCCCCCCCCCCCCCCCCCAAGATGCCCAAATGGGGCCAAAACCGAAGTAAAGACAATGATTTTGGCTTCCTCGCCGAGGCCGTTTTGGACGCTCCAACGCGTCGCGGCCCCTCCCCGTCCAGGTCCAGGGGATGGGGTAGGGGAAGGGGTCAAGACCCCCTCCCCGCCTGCAAGCCGTCTCGCTCACTCTCACCCGCCCTCCCAACACATACGTAGCACCCGAGTCTGGCCCGAGCCTCAGCAAATTCAGCAGTCGTCTTTGGATGGGCAGTTACTGGGGGCCAATCCGCCGCCGCCGCCGCCGCCGCCACCGCCGCCGCCGCCGCCTCCGCCGCCGCCGCCTCCGCTGCCCGCCGCCGCTCGCCGCCGCCGTCGCCGCCGCCGCGCCGCCCGCCGCCGCCGGCGCCGCGCCGCCGCCCGCCGCCGCCGCCGCCACCGCCGCCGCGCCGCCGCCCCGCCGCCCGCTGCCACATCCCGCCGCCGCAGCCGCTGCCGCCGCAGCCGCTGCGCCGCCCGCCGCCGCCGCCACCACCGCCGCGTCGCCGCAGCCGCCGCCGCCGCCACCGCCGCAGCCGCCGCCGCCGCCACCGCCGCCGCCGCCGCAGCCGCCGCAGCCGCCGCCGCCGCAGCCGCCGCAGCCGCCGCCGCCGCCGCCGCCATGTGTACTCTGTATTGCTTTTTGTCAGGGATGGTGGGGGGAGGCCGCATCGGGTTGGCTGCGCATGCTCCGAATTTGGAGGCAGAGTGTGTTTCGCATGGTTTTTTTAACAAGGGATGTTGGGGATGCCCTCATGGTTCCTGGTTGGCTACCAGTCGCCTGGGGGAGGGGGTGATAAACCCTTCACCGAAGGGGAAAGAGGGTTGGAAGAAGAAGCGCCCCAGACCACCTACGCCCAGAGGGCTGGTGGGACTCCGACGGCTTGCTGCCAATGACTGCTGAAAATGTGCTTTCTGTGGGCCGCAACGGTGGCCACGTAATCTCCCGAGACGGCCTGAGAGGGCCCCGAGGGGGCTCCGAGACAGCTTGAGACAGCTTCCTGAGGGCCCGAGACGACAACAGTTCCAAGACGGCTCAATACGGCCTCCGATGAGCAGGGTAAATGAGGAGGAGGAGGAGGAGAAGGAGGAGGAGGAGGAGGAGGAGGAGGAGGAGGAAGAGGAGGAGGAGGAGGAGGAGGAGGAGGAGGAATAATAATAATAATAAAAAGAAGAGGAGGAGGAGGAAAAGGAGGATGAGGAGGATGAGGAGGATAAGGATGGCTCCATGTGGCCGTCGCAGTCTCGGCAAATGTCAGCTCTCCTTCCAGATTTGTGTGTCCCTCCCGAGATGAGGTTCTAGGCGATGCTGTTCAGAAGCAGTCCTCATCGCCAATGCGCGATATAGCTAAGTTGCCAAGTATCTTGCACGCGAAGACAGTCGTGCTGCTGGGCAGCCTGGGAATCACGGAAGGGTGCAGATGATGTTTTTTGTTCTTCAGAGTGAAAGTGGTGTGTTGCAAGACCGAATTAAGCTTCGCAGTAATCGGACACCACCTCGGTTTGGGAACATACCGTGCTCGGTGGTGCAGATAAGGCTTGTCGTGCAAGGGAGGGAAGGACTTCTAGCGACGTGCCGATCGCCAACAGCGTCCCCGTGCAGACTGAAACCGCGGCTGCCCCTGTCTCTTCCGCTCCACCAGATGTAATCTTTGTCACCACAACAACCACGACTACCTCGACCACTACCAGCAGCACCACCAGTACGACTACCACGGCTGCCACCACGACCACGACGACGACCAGCACCACCACGAGCACGACCATCACGGGAACCACCACCACCAGGACCTTAACCACCACCACGAGGACCACGACCACCACCACTACTTCTACCACGACGACGACGACGACTGCACCACCCATGGACATGAGAGTGCCGGCGTTTGCCGTGGTGTTTGCGCTCATTTGTCTCCTGACTGGCGGAGGGGCACGGGGTTCATCGGATTGGGCAGCGGGCAGATGCACAATCCAAGCGCGCATTGCAGTTCGTGAGCTCTTGAAAACGTGCTCTGAGTTGAGCTTGTCCAGGTGTGTTCGTGTTTCGCAGGTTAATGGGCTCCCCAGGACGACCGAGTCTGTTGTGCTTTATTCGCCGCAGGCTTCGGCTCGACCGTTCGATTGAACATATTTTCGATGGGAGCTTAGCAGCGATAGGACAGTGAACTCTCAGTCGGAAGCAGAGTCGCTTGTATCCGAGCGCGACGCTTGTGCATGTTCGCATGTTGGTTGACCATGTAGCTTTCCCGCATTGATTTGACGACCGCACTCCACGTCGCCTCGTGAATGAGTTCTGGGGAGTCAGCAGGCAGCGGGCAGAGCAGGACTTTACACGATCGTGCAGGCGTCCTCGCAACGAATCGTGGTTAGACGTGGACGTCCGTTCGGTGAACGAGGTTCGAGGAGGCACCAGGCAACGGGCAGAGCTGAACTTCACACGATTGTGCTGGTGTCTGCGCAGCGAATCGTCGTCAGACGTGGACGTTCGTTCGGCAGCTGCGCGGCCTCCCCCCTCCCCCGCGACGTCCGAAAACCTTGAACCCCTAGACATCCGATGCCTGGATTGCCTGGACGCCCCCGACAGCCGATGCTCTGATTCTGCGAACACGGAGCCCCCAGAAGTCCCGACCCTTTCCCCTGCTTCAGCCCTGATTTTGCGAACACGGAGCTCCGTGCTTCAGCCTGAGCCATTTTTGACGGTCCCGGGGCCCAGCGAGGGCCCCCGCGGGCCGAGCACGACGAAGCAGTTTCTTCTTGGGCAAAACAAATAAGCAATAAAAAGCATAGTGTGTGTATATATATATATAGATGTATATGTATGTATATATATATATATATATATATATATCTATATGTATATGTATATGTATATATATATGTACATATATTCCTATTCTTATATTTTTATTACCCGGACCCCCCCCCCGGACCCCCCCCTAAACCGGATCCTTCACCCAGGGACGCTCCGGACGCCCTTTCGGGCGTTTCGGCGGCCCCCTGGACGCCCTGGAAAAGGTTCGGTGGCCCTTCCGGGCCTCCCAGGGCGCCTCGCTGGGCCTTGCGAGCCGACTGAAGGCGATTAGAGGGGCCGTCGGAGAGGCGCAAGAGAGACCCAAGACAGCGCAAGAGCGCTCCAAGAGGAACCTCGATGGTCTGAAGACGGTCCAAGAGGCCCCCCAAGACACCCCAAGAGGCCGTTAAGAGAGCCCCGAAGAAGCCAAAATCGTCACATTCCCTCAGGAAATACATTTGTTGTGCATATCCGCTTTTTGGGTCTTCGCAGCGTCCAACACGCGGGCCCCCAATCTCGCCCCAAGACGGCCGGGAGGCCTGCCCAAGGGAGCCCCAAGACTGCCCCAGAGAGCCCCGAGACTGCCCACAAGAAGCCCAAGATGCCCCCAGAAGGCTCCCAAGAGAGACCCACGAAAGCCATGGGGTACCTCCAAGAACGCCACTGGAGGCCCGCAAGAGGGCCCTAGATGGCTTCAGAAGACATCTGGAGGGCCCCAGCTCCCCAAGGCGGCCCAAGAAGCCCCCAGGACGGCCCAAGAGTGCCCCAGGACGGCACAAAAGAGCACCAAAAACGACCAGACGGCGTTCTCCTACGAAATACATCAAGCTGACCCGACGATCTTGGTTCCACGTTTGAGGCTCGAGGTTTCAGTAGCTACCCGATCGAGAGAGACAGGCAATGGAACTAGATTCGAAATTCGACGATCGAAGATTTCCTGCGTGCCTGGAGTCCTCCAGACATTCGGGAAGCGATCCAAAATCGATGTGTTCGGAGCTACTGTGACTTCTTCGGCGTGTCATGTGAACGCTCCTTACTTTCTCAAAGGACCTTCGCGCGCGAAAAAGTCACCATGATTTCCCCAATCCTGCGCACAAGCGTGCCAGCGCATCATCCGAAAGCGGTGTCAGCAGGCACCCGGGATATCGGAAAAATGGGCGGGTCGCCCGTCCAGGTCTCGAGGTCCTCCCTGCTGAAGAAAGCGATGATTTATTCTTTTGCCAGGGAAGCGTCCGGAACAAGGCGCATGGCGCGAAACGCAATGCAATTTTGTATATTTTTATGTATGTATGTATGTATGTATGTATGTATGTATGTATGTATGTATATATATATGTATAAAAAAGACGTCACGGTGACGACCGACGCTGGCAGAGGAGTTCGAGAGCACACTGGGCACAGCAGGCGCGGCGGGCGGCACACGAGCGGGTGCTTCCTCGGTCATGGGGCAGGCCCGCGCTGCCTCTGACAGAGGCGGCGCCGCCGGCGCAGGCGTTCGGGGCGGAGCGCCCTCCTCGGGCCCCGAAGCGCCCGCAGGAAGAGTACCTACGCGGAGGTCGGTTTGTCCACCGCTGAAGGGGGCAAGCGCCCATTCTTCTTAGAAGGCGCGGGCCTTGTCGGCTACAGAGGTAAGGCTGGGCCCTTGTAGTCAGCAGCCTGCTTTTAAGAAGCCTTCCCCCCTCCCCCTACTCCCTTGTGCGCGCCGCCAACTCTGGGGGCTGGAGCACCATGAGCTGAAGTTTTAAATTCGAATACATAACGCGCGTTATGTGGCCTCTAACCATCTCCAACCCACCCACCCACCCAGTTTATCACGTAGCACCCCGCAATTGCTGATAAGAGTGAGGGGTCGGGCGCGGACGACGCGGGCGTCGAGCCGGCGGATCGCCGCAGGCGCCGAATTTTTGGCTTGTTCAGTACGCGTAGTTTGGATCGCGGGTGGGTCGCGGGCTCTCCACCTCCACCTGGAAGGAATTCAAGAAAACAGCCCGCCGCAGGCGCCGAACATTTTGACTTGTACAGTGAACGCGATTTAGGTCGCAGGTTCTCCACCTGGAACGAACGCGAAGGAAACCCGCCGCAGGCGCCGAAGTTTTGGCTTGTTCAGTGAACGTAGTTTGGGTCGCGGGTGCGTCGCGGGCTCTCCACCTCCACCTGGAAGCAATTCAAAAACAGCCCGCCGCAGGCGCCGAACATTTTGATTTGTAGACTGAACGCGGTTTGGGTCGCGGGTGGGTCGCAGGTTCTCCACCTGGAACGAATACAACAGCAACCCGCCTTAGGCGCCGAAAATTTTGGGTGGGTCGCGGGGTGGGTCGCGGGTGTGTCGCGGTGTGTCGCGGGTGGGTCGCGGGTGGGTCGCGGGTGGGTCTCGGGGTGGGTCGCGGGCGGGTCGCGGGGTGGGTCGCGACTGGGTCGCGGGTAGGTCGCGGGTGGGTCGCGGGTGGGTCGCGGGTGGGTCGCGGGGTGGGTCGCGGGTTGGTCGGTGGTGGGTCGCGGGGTGGGTCGCGGGTGGGTCGCGGGGCGGGTCGCGGGTAAGACGACGACAAGAACAAACAAGAAACAACAAACAACTATCAACAAACAACAAACAAACAAACAAACAAACAAGCAAGCAAGCAAGCAAGCAGGCAAGCAAGCAAGCAAGCAAGCAAGCAACAACAACAACACCAACACCAACCACAACAACAACAACAACAACGGGAATCCGCATCGCGGAGTTCCACTTCAGCCACGCACCCAGGGACAGTGAATGACCGTTCGGTTCAGCCCCCTCATTCTGACATAACGCCCTCCGCTTCACCCCCCCCCCTTGCAGCAGCGCTTGTTGTTTAGCGCACAGGTATGCTGTTCGAAGTGTGCGCGCCCGGGGCGAGAAACCGGCCCTCGGGAAGTGGTCCGGACCTCCTAGGCCCACGCATCGAACAGATTGGAGCAGCCGGGTGTCTGGGGATCTCGGTCCTTGTAGGCTGGAGCTCCAGCTATAGCGGTGGGCACATGTCAGGATAGGCGCTTTGCTCCCATCGTTCAGACCAGCGCTCTCGCCCCAGCGCGGGTCACATTTCCGGATCCGATTCTTTCTCCCTTGTCCGCCCCCTCCGTTCCCCTCCTCGGCCTTTGCTGATCCTTCTGCTCCTGCTTCTGCTTCTGCTGATCCTCTTCCTCCTCCTCTCCCTCCTCCTCCTGCTCCCCCTCCTCCACCTCCTCCTCCTTCTCCTCTTCCTCCTCCTCATCCTCCTCATCGTCTTCCTCTTCCTCCTCCCTCTCCTCCTCCTCCTCCTCCTCCTCCTCCTCCTCCTCCTCCTCCTCCAATGTACAAAGCCCCCCTTTCTGATTGCGCATCACACAATGAGGTCATTTTGGGGATCAAGGCCCTCTACGTCTCCCCACGGATGCAAACGAATTCAGCGCAATGGGGAGGGATTGGTGGCAGGGGTAGGATGTCCTCCTCCTCCTCCTCCTTCTCCCTCTCTTGCTCCCCCTGAGCGGGGGTCGGCGCGGCCAGGGGTCAGGCTATCTGGCGTTTCGGCGCTTCCGCCACAAGGTCACCGGCGCCCGCAGCCATAAGCATTACGTGAAGCCAGATCTCAAGCACGACGTCGAAGAAGTCAAGGCCTCCTACATGCGCCACTTGCTTTCAGCTTCTTCCGCGTGCTTCCACATGCTCCCACGTGCTGCTGCTTGATTCCTCTCGTTCCACATGCTGCCACATGCTTCACTGTTTGTGGTCTGCGCGCCCGTATCATGATTGCAGTACGTCTTGTAGCATGTAATTACGCCCTCGTGTTTGCGATGCAGTTGCCTGGCCAGTGTTCTGCTTCAACATGGCGCAGAGAGTCATTACTGTTCGTGTGCGGGACTTGCAGTATTTCCAAGAGCGAAGTCTAGATGTGTGTGTGTGTGTGTGAGTGTACGCAATCGCAGGGTGCAGCGTGCACATCCCGCTCGCATTTGCTTTGAGGGGGGGGGGGCAGGGCGAGTTCCTTGCAGTAAGCATCCAGCGCGCAGCTTGTGGTCTGCAGAGTGCCAGGGCGCGGAGGAAGCCATGCCTGCCGTGGGAGCTATAATTGTCAGGACAGCGTGCCGCCCGAAGTGGTCGGCGAGTCCCAGCTGCGGCCGCCCGGCGCTCGGCCTCTCCGGCGCCGCCCTGCTCCACGGTCCCTGTTGGGCTGGGGTGGAGGGTTTCTCCGGGGGGCTTGGGGGACCCGTCCTCCTCCTCCTCCGCCGCCGTGCGCCCTGCTCCGGGACGCCCCGCTGACAGGCAGAGCGCGTCTTTCTCTTTCTCTCTCTCTCTCTTTCTCTTTTTCTCTCACACAAGCTCCAAGCGGACCCTTGAACTGTCCTGAAGAGGTCCCAAGATGGCTCTTGAGTGGACTCGGAGACTCGCAGGGCCGCCCCCGAGGACCTTGAGCCGCCTAAACACAGTGTGTTTTCTATTCTTTGGGGGTGCTTTCGCCTTATCGCTTCCGATTGGATATGGAGCACGATTGCTCCAAAATCAGCTGAGATAGCCCCAAGAGAGTGCCTGCCAAGTCCTCGGGCAAATCGCCAGATTCCGTTGTTGGTAAATACGCACATTTTGGCGGCGCGCCCAGGGGGGAAGGCAGAGGGGGCGGGCCGTATCAGAAGGCTCAGAAGGCCTCTGGTATCCTGATGTGCGAGACAGAGGCCATATAGCAATTCAACGACTCGAACACCCTAGTGCAAGAGTGTTGAGTCGCGCTGTGGGCAGCCCGGCAGCAGACATTTGAGACTTCAAGAGGCTCATGTGGCATTTGCGAGTAGTGATGCGGTGTTCACGATGAGTGTGTGTGTGTGTGTGTGTATGTGTGTGTGTGTGTGTGTGTGTGTGTGCGTGCGTGCGTGCGTGCGTGCGTGCGTGCGTGCGTGCGTGCGTGTGTGTGTGTGTGTGTGTGTGTGTGCATGCGTTGGCATGTTCGATCCAGCAGGGATCCCTGCGCGCTCTGATGGGGCCCGCTGCGGGCGCGCGCCCGCCCGCGTCGGTGGCTTCCTCCGTCTCGACACTGCGCGTGCGGCTGCGACCAGCTAACATATGTGTGTGCGTGTCTCTGCGCGTGTCTGCTCGGCTCAGTTGCCTCGAGGCTTCCCAGTCTCGGTGCGTCAGCTGCCCTCTGGGCCGCACCTGGCGGTCCGCTGGGCCGTGCTGGCGCTCCCGTTGCGTCTCCTCTGCCGCTCCGTCAGCTGGGCCGCGCGTTCCCCCGGCTTCTGCTCAGTGCAGCTCCGTGCTGCCCAGCTCAGCTCAGTGCAGCTCAGTGCAGCTCGGCACGCTGGTTTCCCCCCCTCCGGCGCTCCCCTGCACGCGCCTCCTTGGGCCGCTGGACTTGACGCTCGGCCCATCCATGGACCGTGCCTTGCGCCGGGTCGGAGTTCGCTCCGTTGTATTTCTTCAGGAGGGAAAACACACAGACACAATGAATCATCGATCCCCCAGAAAATATGGGAAAATATGGAAAGTGGGGGGGAAGACAAAAACCCAGAAAATATGTGAAAATATGGAGAATCCTGTTATTTGTGTGTATTTATTTGTGTGTCCCAGGTCCCAGGGCCCTTTGATTTCTCCATCACCAGATGCAGCACAGTGCTGCCCCTCCCCCTGTCGCGCAGGGGCTTCTCCCCTCCTCCGTGCACTGCGGCCTTAATTCACATACAGCGTATTCCCCCTTTCCTACGATGCCGGAGCAGTCGCCCTCTGCCCAGCCGCCGGCGCAAAAAAAGTGTGTCTCTGTGTGTTTGTGTCTGTGCACCGCCCCTCAGCTTCCCCCCTCCTCTCGCATGCGGGCCAATTCGCTTCACCCTGGCCTGGGTTGCACGGGCGCGCGTGCGGACTGCCTCTGCCGTGCTGCGACATAAAAAGTTCGTGTCTGTGTGCTCATCCTCTATGGTTAAGTCGGGCCTGTCCCTCTACAGGGGGGATATCCAAAAATAGTCAACAAAATAGTCGGGGGATTATTTTTTTAGTATTTTTTGACTATTTTGGAGTACTTTTTCAATATTTTTTATATGATTATTCGCCGAAGGTCCCCCTGTAGGGGGACACGCCCGACTTAACTCTATGGGTGGATCCAGCTGCTCTACTCTGCGTGAGCTTGCCTGGTCCGCGCGCCTCTTTCCGTTGACGTGCTCTACGCCGCGCCGCCGCACGTGTGGCCGCGTCGCCAAAAAAGTGTGTCTGCGTGTGGTAGCCGCGACTCGTGTAGACGCGAGTCGTCGTGCTCTGAAATATCTGCGAGGTAGCCTTGGGTCAGTTGCGACCCAGTTTGTGCGGCGCAGGTGTAGTTTGTGGGATGTGGGCGCAGACGAAGCATTTCAGGCTCAGCCCCGCCTGGTCCGGAAGCTGGCTTGGGGCCCCTTGCGTACCAGACCCCCGCCCTGAACCTGGAGCCGTGGACTTCGGATTCGGAGACGCAGACTGCCAGCCAGACTCCGTGCCCGCTCGAACCCCAGCCCAAGCGCCTGGACGATGGGACTCGCGCTGGTTTCTTCGCTTCTCCTCGAGGTTCCCGCGACATTCGACACGTAGGAGAAAGGGCGTCAGATGGGGCATGACCTCTCGAGGCCTGCAACCCTTCTAATGGCCCTGCTTCCGGCGAGGCCTGCCTGCTGGGTCAGGGGTTGGGGTACAGAGCGTTGCAGCCGAGGCCAGGGGGCTCCAGCGGAGGCCCTGGGAGTGTCTGACCAGGGCTGCGTGTCGCGCCTAGCACTGAGACCGGATGGTGTCCAGGATCGTGATTACGGTAGGTTTGCGTCGTGTCGACCAGCGGCGACCCCAGCGCGGGCGTTCAAGGTTGAACGCCGCCGGCGACCCAGAATCGATCGATGTTGAACGATCGGACGTTGCGGCAGCGGCCGATCGTTCAAGGTTGAACGATCCCTGCGGTGTCAAAAAACAACGCTGGGGTCGGTACACAACCTGCCGTATTCGGGGCCTAAGAGACGGGGGTCAGTGCAAACGGGGGTCGGCCAGGGCTCCGGATCCTGCAGGCTCCTGCGAAGACCCCCTCTGGCGGACCCGGGTTAGCGAGCCGCCCGTGGCCGCGAGGCGGCCGCGCCTATTGGCTGACCTGGGTTTGCGAAGACCTGCGTTGCAGTGTTTTTTTTTTGTTTTTGTTTTGTTTTTTTCTCCTGCATTGCAGTCTGGATTGACCCAGGTCAGAAGATTCCCGATGATTGCTATGTCGGGGTGGGTGGGCGAGGGATGGAGCGCAGATGCGTGGCCGGTTTGGCGACTTTTTCGCCATGGAGCCTGCCGGTACGGTGGCCATCCTGCAAGCAACCATGAGCGCGGAATCTGGCGCCATACGCTTCACCAGCTGAGGGTACGGCGGGTTTTGCGTCGTGTCGACGCGGCGGCGACCACAGCGCGGGCGTTCCAGGTTGAACGCCCCCAGTGGTCTGGAATCGACCGACATCCAGCGATCGGCGCGATCGGAAAGCCGCGATCGCTCAGCATTGAACGATTCTTGCGGTGTCACGGACCAGCGCGTGAGTCGCCACGACACGAACTTGCCGCACCTGGGCTCGACGGGGCAGTCGGCAACCGCCTCCTCGCCCGCCGCGGCAGGGTGGCCGCGGCCGAGCGCTCTGGTGTCGTGCCTCCCGTGTGCAGACGCCGAGGCCCAAGCCCCCGACGTCCGTCAGCCGAGAGAGCGAGTTCGACCTCCTCGGGCTTCAGGACGCCGATGATCGCCCAGCCCCCGCCGACCCGCGGTCGCCCGCCGCGTTCGCGACGGGCGCTCGTCGTGCCACCGCCCGCCGCATGGCCGATTCCCTTTTTGTTCGACCGCCTGCGTCTGTGCCAGCCCTGCGGCTGGCCCTCTTTCCTTCCCGCTCCTCGTGGCGCTCGCTGACCCGGTTGGCTCGCAGTGCGTCCCACCGTTCGCCTCTGACCCCTTGTGACCACCTCGGGAGGCCGCCGACCCAGAAGAGTTGGCCTCCGCCCTCGGGGGGGGCTCCTGACCCCCAAGCGGCCGCAGCCGCAGAAGTTTCCCCCGATCTCTTCTCCCTGCTGAGTGCCGCGCGGCGCATGCCGCGCTGCCAAATTGACTGGCCTGGCAAGTGCGACTTGGCAACTTTCGTGCAGAACAGCAGGCCGATGAACAAAGCCATCGGCAGAAGCCCGCTCTAGATACCGTGTCGAGCCGATTATCATGATTCTTCTAGGGTGCAAACCTCTCCGTGCGACATCCTTCCACAGGCCATTCTTGATATGTAGGCTCTCACACGAGAGGCATTTCGGCTGCGCCCGAAAACCGTGGCCTGGCCCCCACTGCGGAGCACAGAACGGCTTCGGGCATTGCGCCAGGATCGTTTTTCCACATATCCAGCTGCCTGTGGCAAGTCCTGCCCCCGTGCCAGCCCAGCGCCTTGCGTGGCAATTGCCACTCCGTGTCCCGATGCTTGGGAGAGCCGTAACATACGACATGCTCTTCCGCGTCGTATCGGTGTTGGAAATGAGCATGCAGCTGATTCTGATCATGGTGTTCATGATGATGATAATGATGATGCTGATGATGATGATGATCGGTGACCGGTGATCGATGATCGATGATCGGTGGTCGATGACGATGACGATGACGATGATCATGATGTTGATGATGATGATGCTGATGCTGATGATGATGACGATGATGATGATGACCATGATGGTGATGATGATGCTGCTGATGCTGATGATGATGATGATGATGGTGGTGATGATGATGGTGATGATGACGATGACGACGACGACGGCGGCGCCGACGGCGGCGCCGCTGATGCTGCTGCTGATGATGATGATGCTGATGATGCTGCTGCTGCTGCTGATTGTGATGATAATGCTGTGGATAATGATGATGCTGCTGATGATGGTGATGCTGATGATGATGATGCGGATGATGATGCTGATGATGATGATGGTGATGATGATGATGATTCTGATCATGATGTGGATGATGATGATGATGATGATGATGATGATGATGATGATGATGATGATGATGACGCGGATGATGATAATGATGATGATGATGATGATGATGATGATGATGATGATGATGATGCTTCTGATGATGATGATGATGCCGCTGATGATGATGATCATGATGCTGATGCTGCTGCTGCTGCCGATGATGATGATGATGATGATGGTGATGATGATGATGCTGATGTTGCTGATGATGATGGTGACGATGACGATGACGACGATGACAATGATTATGATCATGATGATGATGATGCTGATGATGATGATGATGATGATGATGATGATGATGATGATGGTGGTGATGATGATGATCATGATGACGAGGATGACGATGATGATCATCATGATGGTGAGGATGAGGATTATGCTGATGGTGATGATGATTCGGATGATGATGATGGTGATGATGCTGCTTCTGATGATGATGAATAAGATGATGATGATGATGATGATGATGATGATGATGATGATGATGATGATGATGATGATGATGATGATGATGATGATGATGATGATGATGATGCTGATGATGATGATGATGGTGGTGATGATGATGATGATGATGATGATGATGATGATGATGATGATGATGATGATGGAGGAGGAGGAGGAGGACGAGGAGGATGATGATTATTAGGAAGAGACCCTGATGAGGAGCAGGAGGAGGAGGAGGAGGAGGGGGAGGAGGAGGACTGTGGCGGGCGAGGGTCATGAATAACATGATGGTGACTGAGGGCCTCTCTGCAGGCCTCTTCGGGAGTCCTGAAGAGGCCTCTCCGGGCATCTTGGTGCGTCTTGTGGTGCGTCTTGCAGCCTGTGAGAGCTCGTTGGGCTGTCTTTGGTTGGTCATTCGGCGTCTTGCAGCCGCTTTAGGGCGGTCTCTGACTGTCGTGGAGCTGTCGGGAACCGCAGACGTGCGCTCTTGGGGCTGTCTTGGGGCGCTTTTGAGGTCGTCTTGGGCTGTTTTGGAAGCCGAAGCGCCTCGAAAGCAAGGCAACTGGTTTCCCAATCTTACGGTGAACGTTTTTCACTTCTGAGGTCCTCGCTGGAGTCCTCTTTGGGCGTCTCCTGGAGGCTACTCAGGGCCTCTTGGGAAATCTTGGTGACATCTAGTAGCCTTGAGGACCCGGAGAGTAACACCAGGGGGGACGATTTTCCGACGACGCGTACGACGAGGGGGTGATGGCCAGCGGCCTCATAAAGCAGTAAGGAACCCTACTATACAAGAGACGCGCACTTTCTTACACGCCCCAACATGCCGCTGGCACAGTGGCTGATGACGGGCTACACCTCTCTGAGTGGTGTCGTTCGCGTGGGAGAAGGAGGGAGGACGAGGATCCTCCCCTTCCTCCGTCCCCCTTCTCTCCGCCTCCCCTTCTCCCCCCTCGTCCTCCTCTCCCTCCTTCCTCCCCTATCTCCCCCTCCCTCCTCTTCCCCTTTCTCCCCCTTCCTCCGCTCTGCTCCTCTTCCTCCTCCCACCCCCCATCCTCCCGCCCCCTCTCCCCGCCGAGCCTCCATCCTCCCGCGCGCCCTCCCGCCCTCCCGGACCCCTCCCCGCGAGGTGTGTGTGTGTGGGGAGGGGGGGAGTGTACACAAAAAGAGTAGGCCCTGGAAGGGGAGGGCGCGATGGCAGTGGACCCTCAGAGGTCCGACGTCTTGAGCAAATCATAGGCGGCGCTTTTTCGCTCTTTTTGTGGCCTCTTGGGGGGAGGGGGAAGCGAGACTTGCGAAGGGCCAAGGGCAATGGGGAGGTTGCGAAGCGCAGGTGTCCCATGCCAGAACATCGAATGCCTCCTCCTTCTCCTCCTCCTCATCCTCCTCCTCCTCCTGGCGTCCGTCCGTTGCGTGCGGGTCCTGCCTGTTGCCTCACGGGGAGCTATGCGTGGTTAACAAAAATACGCGTTGCCAGACGCACGCCTACGGCGGGTTCGCGCCGCGTCGACGCGGCGGCGATCCTTGCGCGGGCGCTCAAGGTTGAATGCAGCTGATCTGATGGCCTGGAATCGGCCGACATCGACCGACCCGCTCTGTTGGGAAGCTGCGATCGCTCAAGGTGAGACGATCCGCGCAGGGTCAAAGACCAACGCCTAAGTAGTCGCGGCAGGGACACGCAGTACCCACTGGACGTCCGTTGTTTCGAGAGCCGACCTGTTTTCTCACAGGGAGCCGTGCACGGTAAAAAGTACACTGCCAGACGCACGCTTGCCGCTGCGGAGCGCGCGGTGGTGGATCCCTGGATCGAGGCTCGAGGACCGTTGTCATCGAGGACCGAGGTTTGTAGAGCATCGAGGATCGAAGATCGGGTATCCAGGTTCGAGGGTCGTTGTTGTCGTCGTCGTCGTCGTCGTCGTCGTCGTCGTCGTCGTCGTCGTCGTTGTCGTCGAAGATCCCAGACATCCGGTGACACAATTTTTTCAGTGCGCGGCCCAGAGGGCTTCCCCGGGGCCAGTTTGTCGCCCTCGATCCGTTCTTGATGGCTCCCGGGGCCCGAAAACGGCCCCTGGGGCCAAGATTGATGGGCCTGTTTTCCTCAACCACCACCATAAGTTGGAGGGGGGAAGGAGGAGGAGGACGAGGAGGAGGAGGAGGAGAAGGAGGAGGAGGAGGAGGAGGAGGAGGAGGAGGAGGAGGAGGAGGAGGAGGAGGATGAACCCCTCCCCCTCCAACTTATGATGGTGGTGGTGGTGGTGGAGAACAGGCCCATCAAAGACGAAAGAACAGGCAGCGGGATTGAGCAAATCGGGTCGTTCAAGACCTGGAGATCGGCGATCGGGGGCCGGGCGTCCAGGATCGGATGTCCCCGGCGGCCGGCGTGCCGGCGTGTCTCAGGAGGGAAAAAAACCGCACATACACAAGTCATCGTCGATTCCCAGGCAGATGTGCGAAAGTATGGGAAGTGGGGGGGGGAAGACAGAAGCCCAGAAACTCTAGGAAAACATGGGGAATCCTGTTGTTTGTGTGTATTTACTTGTGTCCCTGGGTCCCTTCAGTGTAGCGCGTGGTCGGCCGTGCCCCCCCCCCGCCTCAGGAGGAGAGCGGGCCCGCGAGCGTGGTCTCGATGCCTCCCGGGGACACGGACGCGGAGGCGCCGCGGGTCAGGGAGTCCCCAGGGGTCGCCCAGGAAGGGGGGATTTTCCACTTCTCTCGGGGGCGGCAACGAGGGGGGTGATGATTCACTGGCAGGGCGCTCGCCGACGCTATTTAGGGTCGCCAGGGCGCTCGCCGACGTTATTTGGGGTCGCCAGGGGCGCTCGCCGACGCTATTAAGGGTCGCCAGGGCGCTCGGGGGAGATCACCTGCGGGGGCCATGGTCCCTCCCCGGATTTCGTGGCGCCTCTTCTTCTTCCATCACGTCCCCAGGCCCCCCCCCCCCCAGGGCCGCGCACATGCCGTCGGCCGTGGTTTGCGCCCCCCACCCCTCTTGGACGCCCCCCTTTTTGGACGCCCCCGATTCTCCAACGCTCGGGAAAAACATATCAGGAGGGAAAAACACAGACATAATTAATCGTCGATTCCCTAGAAAATATGGGAAAATATGGCAAGTGGGGGGCAAGACGAAAACCCAGAAAATATTGGGAAGTACGGGGAATCTTTTTATTTGTGTGTATTCATTTGTGTGTCCCAGGGCCCCCCCCCTCTTGGACGCCCTCGATTCTCCAGCGCTCGGGGAAAAACATGACGGACCGATTTTTCACAGCTGTCGGTCTCCGGGGGCCCTCGCCGGGCCCCAGGCAGGATCGTCAAGGCCACTCGGTATGAAGAGCTGGCCCCTGGGGAAAGGGTCGAGATTTATGGGGGCCCCGTATCGAACAGATGATGACATCGGATCTCTGGGGAGGACGAAGGAAGTCCAAGAGGAGGACGAGGACAGTTCGCTGATTTTTGGAGACCTTCGCGCCTAGGGATGCTCTCCCGCAGCGGCGCCTCGTCGAGAGCTCTCCCGGGGTACTCGGAGCCTCCCGAACGGCCGCCGGAGGTCCGAGTTATGACCCGAAGACCAGACGTGGTCGAGGAGGGAGCCTTCGAGGGCGTCCAAGATCGGTACGATCGAATTGGGTAATTACGGGAAGACTCGGGACGAATGCCGACAGCAGTTCAGGCACACCTTGAGTTTTGAACAGGACTCACTGTCGGGGTTGCCGCGGACGTCCTTTTGAGGCAGCCAGTCGCCTGCCCAACGGCGGCCGCTGGTGGGCACCGCGCGCACCGCTTCCGCACCCGTTCCGGGCGTGGCGAGGTGAGGACAGGGGGCGCGTGGATATCATGGCCTGGGCCGTGCCACCTCTCAGATTTCATGGCCTCTGCGTCTCCTCTCAACACGCCCCACTGCTCGCCCTCTCGCCTCGTCCGCGCACGTGCCGGGGGCCACGCCGCGCACCCGCCCTCTCCCTTGCCCCCCTCTCCTCGGCGCTCCGCGGTGAGCTCGTGGCGCCGACTCGTTGTTCGCGCTGGGCGCTCTCGCCTGGCCTCGGGCACGGTGCCCTCGCAGATCGATGCGGCTCGAGAGACGCCGCGGAAAGACGGGGCCGAGCCCCCCAGTCGCAAATTCTTCACGATGCCCAGGGTTGCTCGCGGCGTCGGCTCAGGGCACCCAGGCCGCCCCGCGCTGGGAACAGCATCGCGTCGGACGGTCTTGGCCACTTGCGGCCTCGAGGGAGGGCCCCTGCCGGGCCCTGGGGCGGTCAAAAGCAGGTCGGGATGTGAACTCGGCTCCCCTGGAAGGAGCCCAAAAGACCTCTGGAGGTCCGCGGGGGCGGCCTGGCCGACTCCCGGCCAAGCGGCCCCCTTCCCCGACGACCGTCTCGCCTCGCTCCGAGAGCGTGGGCAGGCGGCCGGTGGCGCGCCTCGAGGCTCGGCATGGCAGGGGCTCGGCGCGGCAGGGGCTCGCCGCGGCAGGGGCTCCTCGCGGCAGGGGTCGGTCGCGCCGCGCCCGAGCGCTCGAGGAGGGCAGGCGGCACAAAGCACAGCTCTCGCAGATTCGCTTGGCGCTCTTGGGCTGGTGCTGGGCCCCGCCTCCCGGCGCCTCCGGCGTCGCCCCTGCCGCGCTCCCCGCGCCAGGGAGGGGGGGGGGTCCAGCGCCGACCACCGGAAGCCGCGCGGACCTCTGAACGTATGCCTGGCCAGGGCCATCTGGGGCCCCGGGGTGGTGTCGGTATCCGTGAGGGCTTCGCCCTCTGTCGCCGGCCCCCTCTCTCCCTCCCTCCATCCTGCTCCTCCTCCTCCTCCTCCTCCTCCTCCTCCTCCTCCATCCTACTCCTCCTCCTCCTCCTCCTCCTCCTCCTCCTCCTCCTCCTCCATCCTACTCCTCCTCCTCCTGCTGCTGCTGCTGCGCTCGCGCCACAAGGGAAGCTCCCGCGGTGTCTCTTGCAAAAAAATGCTACCCGCGGCCGCGCGGCCGCGCGGCCGCGCGACCGCGGCCCACCGTCGTGGTCGCCGTCGCACACCTGCCCACCTCCTGCCTGCTGTCCTAACGATTCGAAGCGACAGCGGCCGAACGAACAAGCGCGCCCCGCGAAGGCGTTGGGCCCGTGGGGGGGCCCCGCTGCTCCTCCGTGGGGCGCTCGCCAAGCCGCCACAGCGCCCCTCGGAGGCGATGGTCCCATGGGGGGGCCCCACTGCTCCTCCGAGGGGCGCTGACCCGCACCATTCCTCAAGAGACATGGTCGAGGGTGATGACAACTCACGGCACCAGGCACCACAAGGCGCAGCGAGAGCTCAAAAAGACCGCCGTCCACGTCGCACGGCATTCAGAGATCTGCTGATGCCCAACAGCACCAGTCGGAGCCAGCACGCCTGGTCAAAAGGAAATCCTCACACTCGGTCCAAGCTCCAACCAGGGGCCGCCGTCACGACGCGCGGCTACATACTATCCAGTCACGGTCTCCCAGCTATCACAAATTCTATGGGCCAGCAGGTCGGCGGGGTCACCGCCAAGCTCGCCAGCCATGAGAACTCGCCCGTGCTGTTGAAATACGCAACCATCCAAAGGCCAAAAAGTCCAGGTCGTCATTATGTGCAGGATGGTGCCTGATCGCATCGAGACTTGATATAACAAAGTAAAAAATCGCATCATCAGGGTCACGACAGAAGCCTGATTCCGTACCACACCTTTCACCGTCTCGTTGCCCCACTGCTTGTGCGGGGAGTACGTGTCCAAAACATCGCCTATTACTGCAAACACACGGCCCTCATATCTGGCACCAATGAGCTACGTGCACCATTCAGGATATTATCCGTCATATCAAAAAGCCTGACGTCAACCTCACGTACAGTTAGCCCTCTCAGAAGTGTCAGTCCAGCAAAAGATTCCCCAATCCGACGCCTCGGAGACTTCCCATCATAAAAGAGAGCTACATCAGCCTCACATGTCGGATCGTACAGTACCTGAGGAATGCTAAGCAAGACCGGGTGATCAGGATATATCTGTATGCGCGGAGGTTGAAGCGGTCCATCTTCATACTCACGACGGCCACGGCGATACAGTGGACCACGTATGGGGAACCAATGCCGTCGATTCAGTATATCCAAGTGATTTCAAGCGTGCTGTCTCCTTAACGTCACGTGCCTCCAGTTCGTCATACAATTCCTGAGGTATCGGTGGGATAAGAGTTCGGATAAGGGCTAAATATCCAGTGTTACGATACTTAAGATGATACAACAACCTCTTAGGAGTGTGAAAGTCAGTGTCGCACGCACGACAATATCCTGTTTCGGCAAAAAACCGCATCCGCGATACCACCATGATCTTTAGTTTTATGTCCACGCCAAGCTTGAGCTGCACGAAACGTTTCACCACATTCGTAACAGATAAAGCGCCAAATTTCGTCAGGATCAGGAGGAGGTGGTGGGACTAAGGTCCACATTGCAGGCTGCCAAGCCGTGTTCTGACACTCGTCCAAGTGCCACAGTGTTTGTCGTTCCCATGCATTCGTACACAATCGGAGATAATAACGACTGGAATTGCGAATAATATCAAACCATTCAGGCGGTGTTCGGGTAGGACTGTCATCAGCTGTTACACGATGTAGCCAGGCAAGATCAGCAATGATAAGGCCACCCCAAGAGTCAACCAATCCGTCGGCATCGAGAAGTGCGCGAAGCGTAGCTGGCCCATGATTCAAGACACGCTCCAAATAACGAAGGCGCCGTATTCGACGAGGAGCATGAATTGCAGGTCGACGGGTACGAAATAGAACGTACGCATCCGTGTAATGAGTGCTTGAGTTAGCCGTGTGCACAAGGTCCGTCGCCGCTCTAAGGCTCTTGATGTACGCTGCATGTAGCCGGCCTTCGTTTAAGTCACCAAGGTCTTTTTTATATCCGTAAGGGCTTCGCCCCCTGCCGCCGGCCCCCTCTCTCGGAGAATGGGCCATGGAAGAGCGAAGTCATGAGGCCTTGGCGCTGTCGTGAAGCAGTATCGAAACTTGATGCGAAGCCGATTCGCAATCAGCAAAACCAACTGATCACAAGAGGGGTTACCACACCTGGCGATTGGTAAGACGTGTATGGTTTACGGGCTTGGTTACCACACCTTGCGATTAAAGGGCCGAGGGAGTTCTCGCAGTTTGGGTTACCACGCCTTGCGATGGATGTGCGTGAAGGGTGGCACCGAATTTCAGAAATGTGGCAAATCCCCTGTGTTTTTGGACCCTGACCCCGCGGATCTGCGTAAGGGGTGGCGCCGAATTTCAGAAATGTGGCAAATCCCCTGTGTTTTTGGACCCTGACCCCGCGGATCTGCGTGAGGGGTGGCACCGAATTTCAGAAATGTGGCAAATCCCCTGTGTTTTTGGACCCTGACCCCGCGGATCTGCGTGAGGGGTGGCACCGAATTTCAGAAATGTGGCAAATCCCATGTGTTTTTGGACCCTGACCCCGCGGATCTGCGTGAGGGGTGGCACCGAATTTCAGAAATGTGGCAAATCCCTGTGTTTTTGGACCCTGACCCCGCGGATCTGCGTGAGGGGTGGCACCGAATTTCAGAAATGTGGCAAATCCCTGTGTTTTTGGACCCTGACCCCGCGGATCTGCGTGAGGGGTGGCACCGAATTTCAGAAATGTGGCAAATCCCTTGTGTTTTTGGAC